AGGGAAGTGGGCAGAAGTACTTTAGATTTTGAAAAGGAGGACTGTGTTGCTAACAAAACAAGGTCCAAGCGAAGATAAGGAAGGGATTACCCCATGAAATAACAGACAGACCATCTAAGCGTGTGTAACAAATGATCAGTGCTCGGGAAGGATGCAAACAAGTCACTGCAAAGCTGCCATGAGATGGCAGGACTTGGCCAATGACTAGCTTTCCCAAGACTAGATTTTTATTCCAGGTTTATTAAACCCAACAGGCTTTTCATTTTCCTGGCTTCTGGCTTTTCTGGGTATCACCAGAAATAGCCAGGTGGCCACCACTTCCCACTAAAGGCCAGGTTCAGCAGTAGCTGATCTTGATATCAAAGGGCATGTTGTGCATCAAAGGGGACGGCAGGAGCCTTCAGAGTATGTGGTGGTGGTGAGGTGTGTGCCTGAGAGGACACTGGGACAGAGCTGGGCTTGAGGGACACATGCTGTCACACACCGGCACTGTCCCAGCACGGCTCCAAGCACCCACATAATGTAACTCTGGCAAAGGCTTGCACAGAAGATCCAGTGAAAGTCATCTGGGGGGCTGGCAAAAGTGAGGGATGCTTAAACTGGAAAAAGGAGAGGGTGGGAGGGAGCTGGTCCTTTTCCAAAGCAGATAAAGGAGATATGATACACAAAAAGTGGACTTACGCTCTGCCCCACAGTTTTGTGCAAGAGGACAAAGTAGACGATTGTGACTGGCGTTAAAAATCTATGACCTTCCTTAACAAGAGACATCTTTCTCTCTGGCTCTGCCCCATAATATGAAAATGAAATGGCTGCTCAAAATTAATAACTGGCAAATACAGAGGAAATGTGCAGCTGTATTGCTTTGGAGAGCATGTAAGCTGCCAGCAGAGAGCCAGCCTGACAGGGTCAAGTCCTACCCTCTGCGTGCCCATCAAAAGGAGTGGAATTACTGCATTGCTGAGAGATGGGGGAGTCAGGAGAGGCCTCAGCTAGTCTTACACCTCTGACTGCATCCTGATGTCTGCAGAAGAAGGCTATAAATATGTACTTTAATTCTGTGACTGCCAAGGTGCTTCTCTCCAAGCAGCAGACTACTGGCTGCAAGATACCTGATGCCATTGATGATCTAGAAGGAGCTGATGTGGTGCAGCAAATTTAAATTCTTTTTCTTTTCTTCTGGTACACCACAATTCTGTTTCTAACGGTTAACCCTTTAGGCTGACTCCTTGGAGTAACATTACTAGCACAAATGGGATTTAATCCTTTTTCTTCTCTGAGGCTGTATCAGAGTACATAACAATTGTTGCCCACTGTTTGTACTATTTGCATCACTATCTAATAGACAGGCTAAGCACTCCCATGTGTTTTTTTTAAGGAACCTTGTGGTGAGCCATTGAAATCACTCATGCCTCCTCCAGTTTATGACAGAGCAGCAGGAAGGGTTTGAGGGAAGACAGTGATTCCAAAACATTACCTCCATCATCTGTGCTCTGAGAAGGAGGGCAGTGAGATGCAATTCACATCAGATTTTCCTAGTGATCCTTCCTCCCTTAACCTTCTCAACACTGTAGGGCTGCATTGTAATGGGTTTTTTTGTTTTGTTTTACTATTCAAATTTTCATCTCCATGAACTCGAAAGAAATGCTATGGATCATATGGGCTTTCCTTTTAAATGCAAGGTGTTCAATATATTCTTAAATTTGTTTTCAGTGGTCCTCAACTGCTGTCCATTTTCATCTGGAAAAAATAGTCACAAATGAGACTTCTTAGAGGTCATCCCCATCTGAAGGATTACTGGGCAAGTAATGATAGATACATAAGGATCTAGAAATGGTAGAATTCTAGTTAACGTGATTTGTAGACCATCTTGCCCAATAAAAGTGCTCAGCAGAAAATCCATCAGTAGAATTGTCCTGATTCAGCTGGTAGAGAGTCCATTTTCTTCTGAGTACCTGGTACAGTGCTGTGTTTTGGATTTAGTATGAGAACAATGTTGATAACACACTGATGTTTTAGTTGCTAAGTAGTGCTTACCCTAAATCAAAGACTTTTCAGTTTCCTATGCCCAGTTTTCCATTCCCAGTGAGCAGGTGCACAAGAAAGTGGGAGGGAGCATGGCCAGGACAATTGAAAGGAACTGGCCAAAGGAATATTCTATACTATATATAGAATATATATTCTATTCTAGAGTATCATGCCCAGATTATAAAGTGGGAAGATTGGCTGGGAACCACTGATCACTTCTCAGGAAAAGTCTGGCCATCAGTCAGTGGGAGGTGAGCAACTGTGTTGTGCATCACTTGTTTCTCTTGGTTTTTATTCCTCTCCCTCTCTGCCTCTTCCCTTTTCATCACAGTTATTGGTGTTACTGTTATAATCATTGTTATAATTAGAATTATTTTTTGTTTGTTTATTTCAATTATTAAACTGCTCTTATCTCATAAGGTTCAAATTTTTTTTTCCAATTCTCCTCCTTAGTGGGCAAGGGGCAGGGGAAAGTGTTAGCAAGCAGCTGTAAGGTACTTAGTTGCCAGCTGGAGTTAAAAAAGAAGAATGCATCACAACTTGCTGTTGGCAGATATGGTAATAGTCTGTACCTCTTTTCAGGTACCCTAAGGAAAGTTGTTTTGAACTGATGTGTGAGATAACAATTCTGTTTGCAACTGGACATCACAGTCACCGTTTCTCTCACCCTGTTTTATGTAGACACTCAAATTCACCCATCAAGACAGAACAACGTGCAGAGTGGCAGAAAAGATTTAAAAAAAAAAAAAAAAAAAGAGAGAGAAAAAGGAAAAATTTTAAAAAGCTTTAAAGGGAGTATATGCTTACTATAATAAAACACATACTGCCATCCAAAAAAGGAATTTTAATTAAAACCTGAAATATGTATTCCTATTTTTGTGTGTTTATTTGTTCAGAATATTGAATCCAGGATAATCCTTTGAGGCATTTGCAGAGGAATGACTGCAGAAGCCAGAAGCCCTAATTCATGAGGAAGTTCTGTGTGAATTTGTTCAGCTTATCACATATTTCTCTTCTACAAAGTATGCAGAGGAGAAATTACTCAGTTGGGTGGGATAAGTGAACCTGTTTTTCCAGTACCCAAGGGCTACTGGTGGTCCTTGAGGGGTGGCACAGCAGAAAATACCTGTTGTGACACAGCAACTGGGGGCAATTTAGGCATTTGCTCTTGAAAAACAGAGATGTTATTTGAGCACATGCCTCACAAAACTCCCAGTAGAAAGGATAAGTAACGTTTTACAACAGTGACTTATTTAGTGAGAAGCCTGTAGTGATCCAGGTTTTTTTTAAGTTCGTGGTTGGAAATGGCTGTCCATTGGTTCCTGCTGGAGGAAGGTGTGAAGGCTCTGGGTTTAACCACCACAAAGTGTCTTTTAGTTCTGTATCTTCCATATGAGTTTTCTGCACTTAGGGTTGATTTTCCAGGGCAGCAGAAGCTGGGTGCCCTCCTGCATGCCCTTTCCTTTTGAGAAAATCTTTCTGGCTTTCCTCCCAGAGCTCAGTGTGGCACAGGAACTTGGATGCCATGGGAGAAACAGTCTCCTGACTTTATGCATTGACTTATGGTGCTCTCTGTGCTTTGGCTGACAGTCTCACCTTCCTCAGCAGAGCCATCAAGTTATGTGATTGATTACACATTTTTACCTTTTGAGCAAAACTATTTTCTCATACTTTATAATACCTGTTTTAGTTTCATGAACTTTACAAGTGAAATAAAAGACTGACTTTGCACTTGAAGTCCTACTGACAGTTTTAGTTTCTGCATAAAGCTGGTCCAAGATCATCTTGCCTCTAAAAAAATTCTTCCCCAGCCCTCTTTCATAAAGGAAACTGGATTTTAAGAAGCCTGACAGATGACCTGCAAACATTTTACAGATTTCAGTATCACAACGGTCTTGTCTCCTAGAACATGGTTAAGGAAACCTTGTATGAGCTAAACCTTAAAACTGGGCATAAGTTTAAGCACAGGCTCCATTTCTGTTAAGCAATTCCTTTGTGTCAATGGGTTTTCTAATACAGAACTATTAGTAAAGAGATATTAACACTACACAGAGCACCAAGCTCAGGATACTGACTCAAATCCCTCTTTAAGTGGAGCATAATATGCCAAACCACAGGAAGTCACCTACCTTTTCAACAGCAGATTGAACCACTGTCATTGCAGAGACACAGGAAGAGTGGCTGAGGCATGGTGTGGTCTCTCCCTCTTTTCACAGTAGCCAGGGCTCTGTCTCTCAGAAGGCAAAGCCTTTGGCCTGATCCACCAAGACTTTCCCTCATTAACATGTTAGAGTTACAAACAGGAACATAAATGTCAGTGAAAATCATGTTTCTGATTTCAGGTGCATTTCAATATACAGTTTAAATTCAGTGTTGGGGTTGAAATACAATAACATAATAAAACAATTAAGAAGCTCCCACTGACATTCCCATGTCTCATTCTCACACAAGTAAGAGACCTTTCTTATGACCTTTTTGACACTTACAAAAGCCCTCCAAATTTTTAGGTTTTATCAAGTAAGATAAGACAAATCTATTCATCTGATATTTTAGAAAGCATCTCCTGCAATTTGAAATCCTATAATTAATATCCAGCTATCCAAAAATATCTTAAATTGGCTTGCATTTCACTACTACCAATCAGCCTTTGAAAAGGCAAACCTATTCCTGGGATAGCTCAATGTGTTAACAAGAGGCTTCAGATGAACTTTATCTGGGGCAAGGAAATAGGGAGAAGTGGGCAATTTACAACCCTTGCTTTATTTTTCATTTTAGTATGCCTCGTCTTTCTACTGCAGCTGGGTAGTACAGACACAGTGTGAAATAGAGGCCATGTGAGGCAGCATTTGAATAGCACAGGAATGATGAACTAGATAAGCACGTGGAGTGTCATATTCAAACCACATGGATGCATGCATTAAAAGACGATTTAGTACAAATAAACAGTGCTAGGAATCTTGTCATAAAACAAAGAATCCAAGATAAACTTTTTTATTATCTGAAATAGGACTTTCTGTACTGTTTCTCAGTGAAACATGCATATTCCCAAGGTTTATTATCTTCATTAAATTCCAACATAGCATTTAAGCACTATCCTATTTTCCAGAGTAAACCACAAAAAATCATAAAATTGAAGCTTCTAATTTCTGTGAATTTTAAGGTCAGGCCACAGCTGCTGGGAAAATGTAGAAACTCAAAAATAAAACCTCGTAAACAATTATCATGCAAGGCAATGTTGAGCATGAATGTCTGTTAACATTAGATTCCTGTGCACTACAAATTAATACAACATGCTTTTAGAAGCCTGAAATACTGCTTTAATGTAGGAGATATTGAGGCAAATTCTAGGTATCTGGTTTTTTTACCGATGTTTTCCAAGATAGTGCAAAACCATTAAGCTTACAATATTTCAAAACACAGGAACAGCCAACTAAGTCCATGGAAAGTTCAGGATTTCCACACAGACAGTTCTCATTCCCGCAAGATTTTCCACTTTCAGATCAAACATTTGGTGGCCAAGATTAAGCCCAAGAGCATTAAGGGGCAGGGAAAAACCATCCTATGCAATCTGGATTGTCAGGATGGCAAGAGATGACCTCTGTGATCGAGTCCCTGGGCTGTACAGTGTCATGTGTCAAACCAGCTGTTCTGGGTTTTGTTACACATGCATTTAGTGACTGAGGTGAAACACACGTAAAAGGCTCCCCCTTCAACTGTGCTAGTGAATCATGCTTTAACTCAGGTAGCCAGTTAATCTAACAATTACAGGACCAAAGTCAAAGGAACTATATTTGCCTCCAGTATAGTTTTCTGGGCCTTATAGCAGTATTCCAGCTCTGGGTCTTGCCTTGACTAATCCAATAAAACACATAGAGAGAGACCACCACAAACCACTCAAGATTGTATAAGAAAGACAGTGATGGATTGAGGATGGATGTACTTCCTTCTTCACCTCCATGGATTTCACTTTTCTTGTGAACCCTTCAGCTTTCATCCAATCTCCTTGAGCTTTCTTGCCTGATCCTTCTTCCTTCTTCCCCACTTTCTCCAACACTGGTTTAAAGCTGCATTTCAATGCAACGGCTCACAATAAGACGCAGAGAAAACAAATGGATTTTTAGATTGGAATGGAATGGAATGGAATGGAATAGAATAGAATAGAATAGAATAGAATAGAATAGAATAGAATAGAATAGTTCAGTACAGAGGGACACACAATGGTCATCTAGTCCAACTACATGACCACTTCAGGGCTTACCAAAAGTTGAAACATACTACATGTGGAATGCTGTCTAATTTAGTTTCCCGGTCATCCTGAAGTTCCTTTAACAGCCAGTAAGGAAGGGAGCATTGTGCCAAAGGAAAGGTCACAGATTTCACAGGTTTCACAGAACATGCTGAGTTGGACGGGACCCACAAGGATCATTGAGTCCAACTTTTGAGTGAGTGGCCTGTACAGGGATTGAACAGGGGTTGAACCACAACCTTGGTTTTATTCACACCACGCCCTAAGTAAGAGAGTGGGGATCTGAAAACCCCCCTTGGTGGAGAAAATATTAGCCTTTTAGTTGATAATCTGAGGAATCTGGCTCCTGCATCAGTTGGATTCCCAAACACATTGAAACATCTGTTCCATTTTAGGTACAAATTATCTCAGTTTTAAAGTATTCATTCAAGCTGATATAAATTTAACTCAGATATACTCAATATGGCAAATCTGCATAGATTTAAACTAGAAATGGACATCTATCACCCTAAACTACACTTTCATCAGTAAAAATTTGCTCTTAAGGTGTGCCTTCACTAGGGACTTGTCTTTACCAAATTCTCTGCACAGGTTTTGCTCCTCCCAGGGCTGACAATCCACACAGAGAGCTCCCACAGCAGCAAGATGGTGCATCACAGTAAGGGTTGCTGGAAACCACAGTCCCTGCACATCTTGGGGGAACCCAGCCTGGGGATCACAAAGCCACAGTCCTGGGTCTTTCATGTGGGAGGAATTTAACCAGTGTGAAACTAGTAAAACACGAAAGCAGGCTTGGTGGCCTGCCAGCCTTTTCTGCATCAGGACAAAGATAAAGGAAGTGACTGTAGTGACCAGAAGCCCCTGGTTTGTTCACCTGTGTCTGTCCTCTCTTGTGCCTGCTCCAACAACTTTGAATCTGCCTGTTCTAAGTGCCTCTGCATCCACGCAAGGAGAGAACGGAGATGTTAGGGATCCCCAAATGCAGAAGGAGCATTAGTCTGAGGTGGCTACAAGTGGCTGAGAGTCCATCAGAGAGACATCCTGGGGGGAAGCACTGTCCCCAAAACTGCAATGTCCCCATTTTGTGGCTCACCCTCCCCTCGTACATGGCCATGCTTTGCATCCACTGGGAGTCTGGACCTCACAGCCCTGGGCACTGGTGTGCTGCTCCCAGGAGTCAGCTGGTCTCTTATTTTGTAGGTAATGTGATCACTTCAGGAGCTAAGAAGAAAGAGTGATGAGCACATAATTTTTTTCCAGTTTTCCAATCATCCACCTCACCTGGTGGCTGAGGCTAGCAGATGGCTGCAGAGGCCATTATATCCCAGCCTGAGAAGGCTTCCCGTGGAGATTTAATTTAATTCTTTAACAGGTATTTAGCAATACCAAAGTACTGCCAAGCCTACAAGCACCCACTCATGGGAGTTATGATTCAATGGGACTGCAACACTGACATGGAAAATTAGGGTTTGAAGTAAGCTCTAAACTCCTCCTCCAAGACCTGGTTATGCACTTAATATGCTGACCATAAGTATGGTAAAATTTTTTTTGATGTTTATATCTACATGGAAAGGTAAAGGTATTTCTTTGTGCCAAACCCTGAAACCCAGGAAACACTTCTCCAGCTGCAGACACTGACTTGCCTTGGGTGTGTTGTGGCCACAGCAATCTGTGTGTAAAGAAGGCTCTAAGTGCTTGGGTCTGGGGCATCCCTGCAGCTCCGAGCTGTCACCTGAAAGAGGAGTTTGTCTCCAAGAAAAGAGCTCTAGAGTTTATCCCTTGGCTTTGAAGAGGCACAGAAAGCTGGCAGCTGCTCTAGGACATGAAGTAATAGAACATCTTTGTCCCAGGCTGGCAGACATATAAGTACCTTTGGACTTTATACAGCTACATTTTGGAGTTTTTAGGATGATTCATGTCACAAAATTGCCCCTCAGTCTCACTTTTAGGTGTTTTTGTGGATTTTCATCTGCATGCTCAGCATGAAATGCCATGAAGCCAGCAGAGCTGATGTGATTTGCTCCAGCAGATTATCCCAAAGTTCACTGGCCAACTGCCTAAATGCTTTTGCAGTTACACAGAAATGTGTTTAAAGGACTCACAGGGGAAGAGCTCTTGTGCAAAGCACCAATGCCATACATGCAGTCCAAACGCACACATTTGACATCCCTCTGTCATTAAAGGTTTTCCTCATTCCACACCAAAAAATCCCTGAGATGTTCATGGATTTCCTTGAACTTCACTCCCACAATATGTGCAAAGAGGCACTGCCCAAGTCCTGTTTTGCTCACTTGCCTTTAATTTGCAAGAACAAATTCAGACTGGGAAAACAGACCCTCTGTTTGGTCCAGGATCAGTCTGCGTTACCTGCTTCTCAGCCTAGGATTTCTTGGAGCCACTCTGACTTCTTTTTGATAAAGAGCATTGCCTCTAGACCCCATTGCATCCCTGCATACCTGTGTGTGGTGCTACTATACTTCTTCCAGCTACTTACTGATGAGAACACCTCACTCAGGGGGATACACAAGAAATATCAGGGGAAGCTGTCCCTAGTTAGTATTTGATCATAAATGGTGCAAAAGGAGAAGGTCAAGGCAGAAAAGCAGATCTTTGGTAATGGGTGCAATCTGACATCTGAATTTTGTTCATCAGGTCTTTGAGGAGAGCAGCAGAGCTCTGGGCACCCACTCTGTTTCAGAGAGGCTGTAGCTGCCCTACAGTTGCTAACCAAGAGAACTCTCTTGCACATGCTCTATCCAAACACAGAAATCCTATACTTACAGCCTTATTTTGGAAAATAAGTCTGACATCCCAGGAGCATGGCTCTCCTTGTTCCGGCATCCCAATGTGTCATATCACACACAGTGGTAAATGAAGGAAGTGACACCTCTTTTTGAGAAAGGACCTCTAGTTTTTGCCCCTCAAATGGTTTGAACAGAGCAACTGGCAAATGAGATGCTCTGAAACTATCAATTCTATGCCATTTAGTAAGTGTTCATGCATGGTCATAGCCCTGACTAGATTATTTCTGTGTTTCCTTTGTGTTAAATTAATTTCCAAGGTCACACTGAGTGATCACATTTTAGCTTGGGTGATCTACTGCCACACCACACTTGTCTCATCAGCCTGCACTCACTGATGCCTGTGAAAGGCATAGCAGTGCTTCTGCCAGGCTCAGGCTTCTCCTGTCCCTCCCCTGTCCACATACAGCAGGTTCCAACGCTTCCCCTCACAAACATGTGCTGCAAACAACCAGGAGTCCCTCTCACACCCCTCACCCTTCACATGGCAGCCGGGAGTGGTTTCTTTAGGGCTCTGCAGGCATCGCTCCCTCGTGAGAACTGCTGATCCTTGCTTGTCCTTTCTGACACACAGACAAAGAGTAACCCAATACAAACAGGGGTGTCAATCAAGGCCCCTTAGCTAATGACTGAATGCCTTGAAAAGCCTCTGCAAACACCCCAAGAGAAATGGCATATGCTGTTCCGTGGTGTGATGCAACACTGATTTGTTGCATCTACAAAACCTCCTCATAATTGTGTGAAATTGAGTGTGAACAAGCACTTGAATTGCAGTTCATCAGACATAATTAAACTGAAACACAGCAGCAGAAATACCCCTTTTATCTTGTGTAAGGGCTGATAATATAAATACAGAGCACCCCAGAATCAAAAAATTGACTAAGCAGATGCTTGCTAGTCTGTGAATTCTTTTGTAATGCAAAAATAACTCTTATCTCTCACTGTCTATTTTTGAATGTTCATCACTGTGCTGCCTGGGTGTTTTGATAAAAGGCAATAAATATATTTAACATATGCTTAGTTCATTTAAAAAAAATCAATCTACTTTATGTAATTTGGCAACAAAAGAGAAATCATTTATAAATGTCTGCTACACTAATCTGGACTGTAACTCTCTTTGATCAGAATAAAAAAAAATAATAAAAAGGGAAAAAAAAAGTACAAAGTAGTTAAAAAGAAGATGATAGAGCTCAGATTGTGTGATCTGTCCTGTGAAGAGTGTGTCATCTCCTAATGGTCCCACATAAAGTCTCCTTTATTCCCACAGAACATAGTGCAGCATGGACTCAAAATAACATGGATGAATTTATTCCAGAAATGGCCTTGTGGTGTGGAAGGAAAAGAGCAAGATCTTCTGTGCTCTTCATCCAAAAGATGTCAATTTGATCTACAAAGACAGGCGTCCTCAACACCACCTTCACCTCAGCCAGCCTTTGCATGGAGGCAGGCTCTCATTGAGCATGAGAGTTTCCCACTGAAAATTCAGTGGTGCAGGTGTTACAGAGCTGCTGTGCCCAGGTGCCCCAGGCACAGCCTGGACACAGCAGCCAGCAAGTGCAGCCTCAATGCCTCCTTCCCACTGACAAGTAGACAATGGAGAACAGTCTGGTCTAGACCACAGGCCAGATTTACACTTTTTCTTTACACTAAGAAAGATCACTGAGGGAAAGAAATCTAGGCTTTGAAAACACATTCAGGCTCCAAACAGGAGATGTTGTAGGCTGTACATGAAACACAAATTATAACCTTGCATCCCAATCCAGACTATTCAAGCATGATAGATCCTTTGAAGATTCCAGCAATCTATTGGTTATCTAACCCTTGCATTTTCTACACTTTTTAACTGAAATTTTAACTGAACAGTGCACTTTCAAAGGTAGGAAAATGCCTTGAAACAATTTAGCTGCAATATGAAATGCCTGTATCTCTGCTAGATCTGGCCTTCACTTGCTAGGCAAATGCATCTGTCAGTATAAATTGCCTCACAGTGGCTTTATACATGATTTCTCCGTGATGGAGCTGAGAGGGTGCCTGTTCTTTCCCATTTTCTGTTTGAAAGGATTTGAGCTCTCAAGTCAGGAAAGAGGTCAAAAAACAACCACTGGCCTCAGAGACTTCTCAGATCAGCCTGGAAAACACATCAGTTTTTGTAGCCCTCAAGAAAATAGACACTGTTCTCATTAGCTGTACATTAGGCCAACTCAAATGACTAAGAACCCATTTACAGCCAGGTCACCAGGAAAGCAGACTTCAGCAGGAGGCCAAGACTGAACATGTGACCCCACTCTAAGGGTCATTAAATATATGTTTGAAACGCCCAAATAATAGTTCAAGCAACATTTTCTTTTCAGGGTTTCATCCCTGGTTTTGAATCTATGTCACAGAAAGCAGAATCCAGCCCAAAACAATCTTCAAGGGAAGGAATAATGCTGTAATAACACAGTCAAGCTTGCAATCCTGGCAATGAATGCTTATCTCACACTGTGAGCAATGTTTAAAATAAATAAATACTGCAGGGGAGTTGTTGTTAGTGCAATTGTTGGGTTGTATCCTTGTGGCAAGCTTTTTATCATAATAGTACAGGAGAGTACAGTTTGTTTGCAATGCAAGTTTGAGCCAGAGTGCAAAAGCACATGAAGTCTGTTAATAAATAATGGACTGGGCATGTGGGTTTTGCAGAGTGACTTAAAAAGTCAACCCCTTCAAGGTACAACATTGTGCAAGTGCTATTGAAACAAAACAAAAGAAAACAGAGAGATTTAATTTCTAGTCCCTTGGAATGACAGACATGCTCTCCTCAGGAGTGAGACCCGTGCAGGGGTGATGGCAGATGCAGCAGTACAGTGTCAGCTGTACAGGAACACACCTTTGTGTCTTCCCACTTGTGCTGTTCCACACAAGCAGTGGCAATGGAGCAGCTTGCTCATGAATTATGGTACCTTGAATGTGTTTTCTATATCTGAAGACTATTACACAGTCAGAAGGACAGATCCTCAGCCAGGTTGGTATTTTGTATATTTGACAATGTCATACCATACAGAGGTCCAGACCTTATTATTATCTTGGGTTTAGGAGCTAGCAGCAGCAAATGCCTAGATCCTAACCTTCCCAGTGGAAGGACACAATAGACTAGAAAGAGGAAAGATAGCTGGGGGCTCCATAATTTCGCTGTACAAAGCTAACAGCAGTTAATTACTGAAGAGGGACCAGTTAATTACAGTGAACAGAAGGGAGGTCAGGTCACTGGCCTTAAGTGGCAGGACCTCTTCCTAAAAAGTACATGCCAGGCCTACCAGGATGGTGTGTGACAATACCAGCGCATATTGACAGACAACACTGCTTTGCCCAGCTTAAGAACTGCCTAATGCCAAGCCAGGCATGTCATCCCAGCACTTAATAATGTACGTTACAAACAGTTAGAAAAATTAAACACTTACTTGGTCCAAGACCTATGGAAAATGCAGCAACATACACAAGCAGGCTGGCCAGTGAGAGCCATTTCAGGACAACAGGAACCTCCCCACTCTCCACGTGAGACCCTGTTGTGCTTTTGCCTCCTGCCGGGGCAGTCCTGTTCAGTTCTCCTGTCCTGGCAACATCTGGGCTTTGTACATCAAATGACAATCTTTCTGTTGAAGCCATGCCAGCAAAGAGGTCTTTGAGACTCCCATTGGTGACACTGAAGTTTCCTGATCTCTGGAGAGAGAAATCCTCTGGAGACTGGCTTCTGCAGATCTTGGTTAAATTCACATGTATGTTACGGTTCACTACGCCCATAGTGACCAATGATATTGCCATAACAGAAGAACCAATACACAGAAAAGTTTTACTTCCAACTTGATCCACAAAAAATGTGGCTGGGACTGTGCTGACCACTTTAACCACTCCAACTCCAGTGGAAGCCAAGCTGGCAGCTTCATTGCTCTGGAACCCAACTGACTTCAAAACAGTCGACGCATAAAATAAAATGTTGGGTTGCCCAGTTGTTTGCACAAAAAACACTAGAGTGAGTCCTACCAGCATTCGGGCCCTCATGTTGTTTTTTGAACGAAACAGGTCCAAGAAACTATACTGATGTTCATCTTTCAGGGAAGACTTAATCACAGTAAGCTCTTTAGCAGCATCTGATGTTTCCCGTAGCCTCTCCAGGACTTTTCTCGCCGCTTCATCGTTATTTTTCATCACAAGAAACCGAGGGCTTGGAGGAAGGAAATACATGGCAATAGCCTGCAAAGCACCTAATGGAATCACCAGGCCAAACATGTACTTCCAGCCATGAGATATGCTGGCAAATGCATAATTTGAAATATAGGCAAAGAGAATGCCTATCACAATCATGAGTTCATTTAATGATACAAGGAGGCCTCTTCTGTGCTGTGGGGCGATCTCAGCGATGTACACACACGTTGCAATTGATGATAATGATATGGAAATACCTATGGCAATCCGGCCGACAATGAGTATCTCGTATGATTCATAGGGCAGCAAAATCAGACTCCCCAGCACAAGTAAAGAAGATGCAATAATAATAGCAAGTCTCCTTCCAAATCTGTCTATAAGAAATCCACCAGTAAGGGATGCAAATAAGGCCCCAAAAAGCAGGGAACTTACAATGACTTCCTGCTCTTTGCAAGAGAGTGTTAAAATGCTGCTCATCTGAAGAAGAGCTCCGGAGATAAGGCCCAACTCATAGCCCATCAGAAGTCCACTTATAGCAGCAATGGCAGAAGATAGAAAGGTGAATGTTCCACAACCTGAAATAAGAGGATAAAACAAAAAACCTTGAAAGAGTGATTTCTGCAACATTCTGACAATTAATAATAACTTTGTTTGATCTACCAGTTTTAAAAAATTTCTCTGTAACTTTTAGGCAAAGCAGTTAGGTACAATACACATCCAGCAGCAGTGATGACATGGAAGCTATTTACATAAAAAGCTATTTCTGAAAAGAAAAAAAAAAAGTAATGAATATAAAATCTTTAGTTTTAATGCCTTTGTGTCCCATATCTTTCTGATCAAAAGTCAATAAGGTTTTGATCAGGTCCTAAATAATTAAACCTTCTGCTTCAGAATATTATTGCAAAAAGAAATGGTGAGAAAGCAATTTTTGCCTTGAGATTTTTCAGTGTTTTTCCTAAACTGAGAATGACTCATCTATCCAACTAGACTACCATGAGCAAGGAAAGCATAAATTTCTTAGCCAAACTGCTTCAACCTTGAGTTAAATAAGTAACAAGTTTTCCCTCACCACTTATTATTTCCTTTGTTTTGCCTGAGGACGACATGAAGGCTGCTGGTACCATTGTTTTCACTTTGCCAAACTCAAGACTTATTCAGTGAGCATCAAGCTGATGCAGGTATCTGGGATATTCTAGGGAAACTGATCTTTGAGGTAAACTCATGAACTCTCTGGGCTTTGCTCACATCTAAAGTCAGATTCTTTGGAATATCTTGATCAAATATTTTGCATTGCTTTTGATGGCCATAATGTCAGGAACAAGAAACAGATGATGAAAACAATGCAGATCATATGCCTTTGAATCTCTGCTTTAAAACAAACTCATTTTATACGATTGTGATTCATTATTTATTGTTACAAGATAGATTTGACTGATCATATTCTACTAACTGTGAAGCCTTTTGCACCCTAAACCTTGAAGAATATATCAATTTGTTATTGTTGGTCTCGTTCTTCCTCCCAGCATGATTTTCCTTGCATCATGATGTTGGCTGCCACACAACTAGGAAAAGAGTAAATCAACTTCTGATTTTGCAGTTAGTTAGAGAGATGGGATATGTCAGAGGAGAGGTGGCTTTTGCAGCATAACAGAGTCTGTATTTAGTTAATTCTCCTGGAATGAGTGGTATATGGTCTAATTGGAAATGATACACAGAGTTTGTTTATGTTTAGCTCATTTTTCTAAGGCGTTAAGGCCCTTTGATCACACTGGTTGCTCAGAGTTCTTTGCCAATAATTTTGAGCGCATTGGTGAGGATCAGCCCCATTTGATAGAGGATATTACATTTCAAAAGCAAATGTTGAATAGAGAAAAGGAGAGCAGCCCTAGCAGTACATCTGCACTGCTAAAGTAAACAGTGCCAGAGCCCTGGCATGTGGCCACATAACCTACTAAATTGCTGGCAGGATCCCTGCCACATATGCAGCCCAAGTTACCTTGTGTTGTCTTAACAACTCCCAGAAGCAAACAATTCCACCACCCCACCCTGCAGCCACTCCATAGGCAGACTGGTTATTATGGAGGGTAGCACAGTACAACTGTGAATATAAGCAATGCCTCGGGGGTCAGGGGAGATAGTTAAGCCCATTAAGTCTCTTAAGATAAGTATCACCTATTAGCTCTCCTAACTTTGAGCCAAACAGCAGAAGCCAAACAGCAGCAGCCCTGAGACACTGCGTGCAACAAATGCACCTCAACTCGCTCAGCCACTGAGCTGGTGTGGCTGGCAAACCAGAGATAGACAAGAGATAGGGGAGAAGCACATGGTTTTATCTTGATGGGCTATAAGGACACAGGGGGAATGCGATTATTGTGAAAAGTCCTTCAGAAGGTGGGGGGGGTGGTAGATTTATTGGGAATGGAGATGGGACATCTTGAAGAAAGTAACAGAAACAAATACACAAAATGCTCCAGTGATGGAACAATCTTTTTTTATATTGTTGTTGTTCAGATCTGTTAATATTTCTAAAGCTTTTTCTTCTTTTATATCTGCAGTATCTGAGACCACTTCACTTATTTTAAATAGAAGCATGGGTTAGGTCCTGCTGTACTTCCTTCACCCATTGAACAGTAATTCAGTGGAAGTACTGCTGACTACAGCCCAGCTGCTTTGTGCTGCATCCTGCAATGCACACATGCAGTATTTGTTTTATCATTGCAAAACATAATTTCTCCTTCCCATTTATACTTTCGAGTTGCCTGCTTACTGTATATTATTGTATGTGGAGAATATACCCTTCCAATGAATCCTGGCAGGGAATCTGGGCTGATAACAACACAGTGTTGTGCTGAAGGAATGAGCATATCAGAAACTAAACTGTTAATTTGATTGCAGTGCTCTGCCCAAACTACACTTCAGGACTGATGTTTGTGCTTTCTTGAATATCTCTTGAATATTTTACATCATTGAGCCACATATATTTAATGTAGGAATTTACCTCAATTTACATATTATGGATAGAGAGCATTGTGTTCATCCAGTCTAACACTCACAAACAGCACAACATGATCCTTCTGACACATTGCAATTACATTTTATCTGAACCAGGTGATTTAGAACACTCAGCTTTGATTTAAAAATGTCTAGTGATTGAAAACCAATGACTTTGAGTCATAGGTCATCCCAATGGTTAATTGCTTTCACTGTAAGTTATCTGTAAATAATTTCTAGACTTAATTTATACAACTTCAGCTTCCAGCCATCCGATCCCATTCTCCGTTTCCCCACAGTTAACTGTGTTCACTAAGTACAAACTTATAGCCTGTCATTGGGTCATCTCACAGACATCTCCTTTTTTAGCTACTTACCCTGTGAGGCTTTACAAGTTCACCAATCCCTTAAGTATTTAAACCTCTGTTCTCTGAACTTTTTCAGACCACCAAGTTCTTCAGTAAATTGTGATCTGGACCCAGTGTTCCTGCAGTGATTACACAGTGTCAAAGAGAAACTTGACATAATTTTTTTCAGTCCTGGTGGACACTTCCCTCTCTACTTGTCCAAGGATTCTCACAGACATGTATAGAAGCTTATCTTCTGGTTATCATTCAGGAAAACCTACTTCTTTTTTGACTGGATTCTTTCCAAGGCACTGCCTTGCCTTTAAATATGGCCTGCCTCGTTTTATCCTAATGAGGAATGCAAATCACATTACATTTGTCTGTATTAGGGTTCAGCTTACCTTACTGTGAGACACCTACATCATCTCTAGATTTCTCTTGTAACCACTGGAGAAAAATAGGCACTTCTAGACGTCTGAATTAGGGCGGATGCCGACTTCCCTCCATTGCCTATAAAAGGCAACTCTGCGGCTTGCTCAGATGCAGATGTCTAAAGTTAGCAGAGAGGAACCCCAGACAGCACATTCACTTGCAGTCAGCAGGCCAAGGCATCCAAATTGCATTCAGCCAGTGGCATGTCCCATTTATTGATCACCCATCACCTTTATCACCCTGTTAAATAATCTGCTATTATTTTCTTCCAAGAAACTGAGAACAGTAAGTAACAGAGGGGTAAAAACAGAGTTTAAGGCTCTCCAGCAGAAACACAGCAGCGTGGACAGTGTACTCTATTGATACTTTGAAGTCTGTGTCCTGCATAGTTCTTAATTCTTAAAATGTTGGGAGTGTAATATTTGTTTGGTTTCAGTTTCTGAATGAGAGTGTCATGTCAAATATCTTGATAGAGTCCACCACCAGCACTGTTCTTTACAATCCAAACTGTGCTCACATCAGCCTGTGGTCCTTAGATCAGAGAAACTGAGATGGTTATTTATTTTTAGTCTGACAGTCTGTGCAAGCTGGATGTAGAGCTTGGACACCTGGGAATTGATAGGGAAGCATTCAAGCCCATATATTTACTGCTTCTCCAAGTAGAGCAACTTGATCAATGTCTTCATGTTTATTTTTTTTTTTTTATTTTTACTGGGTCAGCTGGTATCCTTCTTCACGTGTCCAGTGACACATACCCACAGTTGTACAGAAATAGTGGAGGGCTGTAACTAGAGCACCCCTGAATGTGAAGCAGATCCTGACATGATGCAGAGGGAGACACATTGTCCTTCTGCATTAGCAGCAACAAAGTCAGTATTTCACTTGGTGTCTCTTGTCCCTCACAGGCACTATTCCACTGAAAAACATTGTTATATCACCATGAGGTTTTGTTTTAACTGGGGTACCCAAAACTTGCCTGCTCACCACTGCCTGCTGAGTTAAACCTTGAAATCTGCTCAGTTTCCCTTCATGACCTTCCTCTAGGCAAAATTCCCTCTGACTTCAGCATATGTTTTGCTTTAACATTTCCAGATAAAAAATGTTGCAGTAGTTGTACTCACAATCCTTTTAAGTGTCACTTTGAATGATGCTGCTGGCACTTCTTAGGCATTCCTTTTTTTTTTTTTACAAAAAGCTTCTTTATATATTTATACATATATTTCTCTTATTTTTATGAGATGCCAACAGAACACATGGTAGTGTACAGCCCAGGGGAATAAAATATTTTAATGATAGCTACCAGAGAATTTTCTCCTTCTGTCTGCCACTAACACCATGGCTAATGAGTGTGTGGCTGGTATGTGACAAGTGATTGGAAAGTCTATTCTCTAGTTTCCCATGTAAACAAAGTGGTTTCTCACAACTGTTGTTCTAGTCAAGAGCAGCCCTACTTGGCAAACAAACCTATCTTTACGAACATTTGTTGGAAGTGTTTATGCTTGGTTCCTGAAAAGGAGACCAACTGCAGTTGTAGTACAGCAGCACAGTGTACTGACGATGAGGCTGGACGGGGCCAAGTACTAAGGGTGTGCCCCTTTACTCACTTTCAAGCACATATTTGGGAAAATACATTCATTCCAAAGCCACAGTATTTGGTCTGTGCATGTATTTTATAGGCATTATGGATAAATGATCAGGGAAGATATGCAAGCAGGCTGATTTGGGAAACAGCACTCTTCACCCACCTAATGGGAGAGAGAGATATGGGAAAGGAGCCCTTTCCAGCTTAGTTTGGCAGTATCATGCTCCATGTTAGTCCAGACAGAGACTTCTATGATGTAGTTTTTCTTTGCTTTCTCCCAAGAGATCATTCAGGGTGCATAGAGAAAACTGCTGGGAAGGGGGTAGGGATATTACTTTATGAAAGCGGTGCAAATATATCTATTTTGATAGGAGGAGACTCAACAATCTCTTCCACCATGGTACATTCTTCTGTTTACTTTGATTTAATCTGAGATGAGAAACATCTCCGTTTGGAAGGGAAGGGAAGTATTTTCCTGTCAGGAAAGTTCTTTAAGTCCTTGCAATTTCTTTGATCTATTTAGACCTTTGGAAAGTGAATTCAAGTTCTGTCAACCACGGGTTAATAAGCACAGGTTAGAAAACCCTAATGAGCTGAATGCATTGCCTAGATATAAATCCGCAGCATGGAATAACTCTTTTTTTCAATAGAATGATATCTACTTTTATCTACAATAAGTTTTAAAACTACAGCATCTGTATTTGAAAATTTTAAGCTGTCTCTAATAACGTATTTGCTTTCCACCTGAGTGCTGCCTGACATACAAAAAGTATGTCTTTCAAGGGATATAGTATTTAAATTTCCCAAATTGTCATGAAATAATATTTTGCTGAAGTGTATAACATGAGGATAATTTTTTTTTTTTTTTTAGGATAAATGTTTGATGGCATGTATTGGGAATTGCCGCATCATTAAACCATGGTTTTGCTTCTCATAAAAGGTAATTTTCCCATTTTCATGTTATCATGGTCTTTGCTGTGCTGCCACAGCCACTTTCTCTGTCTCATCCAGTTGTTGGGTATAAAGAGATATATCTTACCCTGTTGCTCTATTCCAACACCTGAGGTTTCTTTAGATCCAGTAGCTGCTCAGTAGGTGCATTTCTCCTATTAGCTAGAATACATCTGACCTACCAAAAATAATGTCAGGGCCATGTGGGATCACAATCATTTGACAAATGGGAATCCTCCCACCCAAGTGTGAAAGGCAAACCCAGAACAAATACTTTGTAAATTGAACTAAAAGAGAAGGTCAAAGGAAACAAATGTACCACTCATCTAAACTCCTCCAGTGGTGGGAAGCACTGAATACTTTGTAGAGTATAAGCCATAATGTACTTTGTAAACAATATTCAAATTTCATGAACAAAAGCCCCCTAAAAATGATGGAAAGACAGGGAACGCAGATCCCAGACAGACCCACCATGGCCATGTCCCCTCTTACTGCTCTGCTATGTAATTTCACTATGTCAACAGACAGCCTGTCCCCTCATTACATGAAATGGCATTTGGGTTTTGTTTTGTTCATTTCTAGTAAGAATCAACAAGTTATTTTAATTTCTAACTATGTAATTATATATTCCTCAGCTACTGCTTTAATTTTTGAGGGTAAGGACAGATGTGCAATTTGCATGTACTCTTCTAACCTTAACCCATGTGCTGCAGAAATTTTGCTATCTGTTTATTGCTATCCTATAACCATCTGCACTGCTCTCCTCAGTCCCAATGGCAATGTTAAATGTGTCTGTGCACCTACTGACTTTCTGTTCTTAGCTAACCTCTGATTCCAATATCAAGAGACATTGCTTGACAGATCACTATTACACTCCAACAAAGTATTTGTGCTATGGTTTCTGAATATTCTTGTATTAATCAGTTCATTCAGCTCAAAGTGAACAAAATCTCCGTGGGACATTGTCATTTCTGACTTATTACCATGCTGTCCTGTTTGGGTACAGCTTATAATAAGGCATAATAAGCTTTGTGGCTGAGAAATATCATGATTGTGGGGCATTATCCCCTTCATCTTATCATCTAGGAAAGAGTTTGAAAATGCAAGACCATGCTGCAGTTGAAAAAACCGGCTGGGTAGGACAGCAAAGATGAAGAGCTATGAAATTCAGTTTCTGCACTTAAAAACTTATTGCAGAATAAATGTTACAGCTGATTTTTGAGGGTGTCAGCACAGAAACCCTGTTTCTTCCTGAAACGCTAGGGAAATAAAAACAGGAGGGAGACCCTGTCCCCCCACCCTGACCTGTTCCCCTGCAGGGACAGGTGCAGTGCTTGCCTGGACTCCCTCCACTCACTCCGGTGAAAGGGATGAGTGTGCAAGGACCAGATCACTGTTGTTAGAGGGCAGCAGGTTCTCCTATCTTTCAGATGGCTGATCTTCATAAAGGAAAATTATTTACACAACAGACAGAACCTACACGAGCAATAGGACCAAGGCCTTTTAGGGCAAGTATCACACAAACCTTCATTCAAAATTCAAGCTGGCAGTCCCCGTCCTTACTCACATGTTCCCCTCTCGCACTTTTGGAAACTGAGAAGGCACGTCCCACGAGTCCCTGGGCTTTGTGGGGCCGTTCTCCCCCGGCCCCGAGCATCAGCCAACAGCTGGCACTTAGCTCCTGCCTCCTTACCTGCTGCAGCCGGGAGCCGGGAGTGGCCGCAGCCCCGGCTGCGCTCCTCATCCTCCCCTGCGCTCATGGTCTGCCTCTGCTGGCTGAGGTCCTCCGTGCTCTGCCCAGGTACCATCACTGCCCCTTCGCACCTGGGGCGGGAGCACTTCACAGCGCCGCGCTCCTTCCCCGGCCGGACGGCAAAGGGCAGGTTGTTTTCCTCATGGCAACAAGTTCCTGAAGCTGGCTGAAACCAAATGCAAACCACAAAGTGGTTCGTGAACAACTTTGCTGCTATTTCAGAAGGCTTTGCCCTTTGCAGTGACACAGGCTGTTGCTATTCTGGGGAGCCTATTGCAGGCGAGGGGAGGGCCGTCTGTCGGAAGTATTGCTTTTGCCTTTGAACAAATAGTTGAGACATCAGACATCTATCCATGCACAGCTCCATGCACATTCCTTACCCATTCACTTACAGGGTCTCTCTCTCTTTTCCTGTCTCTCTTTTCCTCCTCTCCCTGTGCTCATACACACAGGTTTTTAGCAGAGAAGGCACACTGAAGGGGAGGGTTTCAAGTGTTTCCTCTGTCAGCTAAAGTTAGGGCACTGAGCACACACACACTCACACACACACGGCATCACTTCATTCTTGCAACTTCTGAGCAAATTATGGTGAGAAGTGGTGGAGAGGAAAACAACCATGGCAGCCCCTTGCAGCCTGTGATAGTAGGAACCAGGAATTTACGTGGCAAAGATGCACATGACAATTTACAAGCAAATGCAGGGCAAGCCACCCTCTTTTCCATGACAATTATTTGAATCAAAGACTTGATTTTGATCCCTGCTGGGAGTCACTCCATCCTTGCTCGCTTCTGTGGCAGCAGTGGCCAGGGGCTGGATGGCAGTGGGGGAATCTTTGTGGTGGGCGCAGGTGAGCTGCCTATACAGGCTGCCTGCCCTGCTCTGTCCCAGTCCTGGGAGAGCCTCCAAGTGCTCTCAGCAGACCTGCTGCCTCCGTCAGGCAAGTTGTCCAAGTTACCCACAGTGGTAATCCCTGTTGTATAATCCGGCAGTGCTGCAGGCTTCTTGATTGTGCTCTCTGATTGCTTGCTTGCTTGTTTGTTTTTGTTGTAATACACTCATGCCTGCAGATAGCATGGGAGGGAAAGGTAGACATAGAAACTCGGTAGCTTTGCAGTATTTCCAGACAGGAGAATTCCTGAACATTTTTTTTTCCTTATACAGAGCAGGCATAATAAGCCCTTTATCGATGTTTGCTTAACAAGAAAAATGTGATGAAAGACATTGTAACTGCTCCATCTGACAGCTGCCTCACTGTCAGCTTCAGAAACTGGACTGCCAGGGATGCCACAGGGGCATTGCTTCCATTAGGCAGTTTGGGCTTTGGCAGTGCCTTTTACATGTAGTTACACGAGTCAGTCTAACTCTGCTCTCATGTGTTACACACTTTCCTTGTAAAATGTCTACCTGTCAGTCCTTACAGGATGCTGTCGGCACTACTAACAATTTCTTAACACATCCACAGAGGTGTTGTTTCTTCATAGTTTATGTGCAAAAAGTAATGTTAACTTTTAAAGAAATTATTTGTATATTTTGGGAAAAAAAAAAAAAAAGAGAGGCTGTTTAGGCTGGGGAAGGAAAGGAAATGTTTTCATAGATCAAACTCAGCTGTGATAAGATTCCTCTGTGATAATGTGGTGTGTAATAGACCTCCTCTAACAACCCACACCTCATATAACCCACAGCTCAGTTTCTCTGGAAACTCAGCTGACTCCATAGGTGCACAGCTGTTCCCACATCCCAAGTGCCTTTACGTGTAATGGTCCTGGAGGTATCAGAGAATGCCAGAGGTGCCTGTGGCAACTTGACAGGGAGGAAAGAAGAGATGCAACACAACTGTTCAAAAACCCCCTAAACTAAATGCCGTCCTCTGACTAAATGTGTTGACTATACACAGCCTGCTGGCATGTAGAGACTTTAGGAGGATTTAAAAACTTGTCAGGAACTGCACCTTCCCCTGAAAAAGAAGCATATTACCCCCAGGAATAAGTAATAAAAACACTGCATTACATTGAGTTCTCAAAACTTAGGATTAATAGATTTTACTAAATGAGTGTTAAGTGAATACAATAGTGAATTTCTTTTTTGTTTAATAGGAAGAAAAAAGTATTTTAGGCAAACAGTAGGATTTCATGTAACTATTTGCACCTAGAGTTCAGTCCCCTCAAAAGCCGAAGCCTGCAATTATTTTAAATATTTACCTCCTTGTTTACTAAGAAATCTAGTCAAATAATCCATTTTTCCTTTCTAGTTCTGCCTTTATGTCATGGTATCTATGCCAGCTGCAACACCGCAATGGTTTAACTTTGCCCCCTGGGGTAATCTCAGAAGGTATGTACCTCGCTTGCACGGAGGGTAAAGCAGCCAGTAGACACAGTACAAACCATAACAGCCAGATAAAATATGAAGGAACACATCCTTATTCTGAGGGCTTGTATTTGGGCTGCCCAAAGGATAGCGCACCCTTGCCATGCTGAGCTGTGGGTGCTGCTGAAGTGCCAGGAAGGTCCTTGGGCTTTGACCTGCTCCCTCAGGTATACCCAATGCCTGCAAAAACTGTATCAGTGTAATATGGTCTTTGGAAAAAAATGTTCCCAGTAAGTGGAAATATGAAGTATTTTAGCCTGAGATCTGCTGTTTGCATGGTCTTGTTATGAGGGATGGGCTGCAGTGCCATCAGTTTCAGCTGATAGTGAAAAGCCACATCTCAGCCAGTGTGAAGATGTCTTATCACAACTGTGGCAAAAAATCTGAGGCATTGATGTTATTGGTGTTTACTGGTGCTAACTGGGAACCCAGAAAATGAAGGAACCATAAAAAAGCTGATTGCAGCCAATGAAAGCAAACAGAGAGAGAAAACAAACAGCCTGTGCTGGTTCTGCAGTCAAGCCAGTTGTAGAGGGATAGTGTGAAATGCAGCAACTGAAGCCCTTGCTGGTGGCCACAGGGCCACAACTCCCTCTGTTTCCCACCAGAAATAAACAGCCAAGCAAGCAAGAAAAACTCTGGTACAACAGACATGACTGGGATAAGGAGGAAGAAAAAGAAGTGTGCTTTGATGCTTTTCAGTTCTCCGTTGTTTTCCTGTTACTGCCTTGCCTGTGCACAATGCTCAAAACAATGGCTTGGCTGGGCTCTGTGCCAGGAGCAAGGTGTCCCTCAAAGCAGGGGCAGGAGCCTGCCAGGGTGCCTGCTCTGCCCCTCTCATGGCTACCCAGGAAGGGAACCAAAGAGCAGGGAGAAATGTTGCCAGAAGGCAGCCCATGCAAAATGCTGAGATGGGCAACAGATGAATGATGCTGTGAAGAGCAGGAGCGCTGGGCTCATAGCTGTGCTCTGGGAGGCTGGGCAGGAGGTCACACCCTGCAGGAGTGGGAAACAAGAGTGGGAAAGATTTAAAAGCTCAAAGCAGGAGAGGGTCAGGAGGCAGGCAAGGGGTATGAGTGCAACACTCTCATGAGATTCCCCTGTTGGTTTTATCCATGTGCAGTTGGCAAGAAATCACCCTTTCTGCTATCTTCTCAGTTCCTTGTTTTCAAAATCAGCCAAACACTTTAGTACTAGTGATTAGGCTAGAAAAAGAAGATGATAGTCACATTAAATTGCTGAATAATCTGTCTGAAAAATCTGTGAGGCTGATGTGGGGATTTCTTCTAAAATCTTTGGTCATGGATTGTATTTGCATTCCTGGTGATCTAATAACTCAAATTTGGGACTGTCTAATAACTCAAATTTGGGACTGTGGAGAGACAGGGAAGTTGGTGATAAGCCAATATAAATTAATTAAGAGTTGAAGAGTTTTCTGAACCAGTTTTCATAGACCACTTTTGTGAGAGTTGGAGTAAAGAAGGTCATCTTATTTCTCTGTAGACTTCATGATTCTTAAAAAGAAGATAGTGGACGTCTCTCAGTTAATTTTAAAATGTAGAAACAAAGCTTTTCAGCAAACTATGAAGAGCATTTCTTAACATATCAACTTAAGTTTGCCTTCATCTTTGATTGTTGCTTTCATCTTTGATTGTTGAGATTTGTTCTCAGAACAAATAGTTTGCCATTTGCAGAACATGTTCATGAGATAGTTGGCTTGGAACAACAGGAGGAAGGCTAGGAAGAAGAAAGAATGGAAGTGACATGGAGAGAAGAGACAAGGAAAAAATGGAGAAAAACCAAGTGAAAACCATACTATTTATTAAAAAAAAAAGTGCCAATCTAGTAAAGCATGAGTAGCCTTTACCATTAGTGTTGACACATTGATACCCACACACAAGGACGAAAATATGCCAAAATTCCAGTTACTGATCAATGAGAGCTGGATGAAAAAAAATGAGAGCTGCTTCAAGAAAGTAAAGTGATCTGTCCTTCAGGAACTTTGAATATAAAGATAATTGTTATTACTGTTGTGCAGCAAAATAATTCCAATTCACCAGTCAGTTTTGCAAAGAATGCTTTTTATAAATGTAAGGTATATTTCATTAACACAATGTTTAGGCTATGCCATTTGTGTAATTTTGCAACTGAATAAAGTACAGATGCATCAACAAATGGATAATACTTAGTAAGTAAATAAATAATATAGTCTGATGTCATATAGAAAATTCATGACAAGTGAGAACACAAATTATTTTCACTCTAAGTCCTGTGGTTTCTTACTAAGTCATACTCTTTCTGTCATGTTCTTACTCACACTCAGAGGCAATGATTTATACCAATATATTTTTATCTGGCTTTAAAAAACTCAATCATAGACATAGTCCAGAGCTCATCACACTTCATGACTCCCTCCAGAGTCCCACTGACTCATGGCACAAATATTTAATCTTTTGGTCTTCTGTTAGTGTCTTCTTTAAAAGTACTCTTTAGAAGTACAGTGTGGCCTTGGTCAGCAACGCTGAGAGTTATGTTTTGGCAGAAACTTGAAATCAAAATGAAGGTAAGAACTGAAGACTGTGGAAAATACAATACAAATAGAACTGAGGTGAGAAAACAAAATAAAATATAAATTTTAGTTCAGGTTTCCACATTCATGGCTGTGTAGCCTTTCCAACAAGCAAAAAGAAAGGTCTTTTAGCTTCTGAGTAATCCAAAGGGGCCACTTGTACTTTGTTGCTGAATAACATGTCCACTGTTTGTCATCACACAGTGTTCTTTCCTGTTTGCTTCAGATATTTTATATTTACCTTTTCTTTTTTAACAAATCATAGAAACAGCAGCCCTCACATTTGAA